AACCCTAACACTTACATACCCACTGTGCATCAGAGGGCCAGAGGCAGCTAGGAATGGGAGTACAACTCTTTAAACCTTCTGAACATTGTCTAGAGTAGCCTTATTTAAATAATCATAGTAAAGTGTTGCAAACTATTTTTAAAATTGTTTAAGAATTAAGATAGTAATCACAAAACACTGGCAAAATTATTCTACCAGCCTGACACTAGTAATAAACTGAAATACATCTTGCACAAGTAAGTCTTGAGAAGTTTGGGGCTTTTTTGTGGGTTTTTGTTTTGTTCTAAGAACAGAAATGTAACTTACTATAGGGACTAACCTGTGTTCCTGCAAGGCAAATATCTTTACCTTTGGCTTAATAATGCAGAACTATAACCAGGAACAAATATAGAGTAGGCGTCCCTGACCAAATGTTTTTCATAGTTACAAAATATTTTTTTCTGATAACTAGCAGAGGGGCAATAGAGATAGCCAAATTATGTTAAAAAGTTACTGAAAGAACAACAGAACAATGAAAAAAATTAATAATCAGGATACAAACTGACTTTTAGCAATATATTTGATACATCTAACAGAAATGCTTTACATATTTTTAATTTCCTTTTGGAAACAATATCCAGATAATTCATGTAATTTTACTTCCAAACCAATATTCTGTTCCTATTAATATTTAGTGTAAAAGTTGTTGTATGCTAAAAAAAAAAAAGTAAGCATTTTACATTACTATTTTAAAATGTAGACAGGCCCACTAATCTGAATACCCCCTGTATGCATTATTTTTCAAACATAAACATGGAAAATAAACTTAAGATTTTCAAGGCATTTGTATTGTCTTGGTTTTGTTGTGTGTCACAAGAAGTATGCGTAAAAGTACCAGTATGTCTCCTTTGGTGCAGGAGTAACTCAGGATGAAGTAGGATTTTGGTTTTAGCCAAACATTATGAATTGGAACTCCTGATGATGAACTTCATACGAAGTCCACAGAAATCTCATCAGATAAGATACTGATAATGGTACTAAAAAATTCTTAGCTTCTACTGATGTAAATCAACCATTATGTAACGGGGTGACAACCATATAATTTTTCAGTTCTACTGTTAATATCACAGAAAAAGATGCTAGTCCCAATACAGACAGCTAAGGGCTGGGAAACAGATTAGCAAAAACTGAACTTAATGGTACCCTCTGTTGTTTTTCTTTTAAGGCTGCAAAGCAGCAACAAAGTGACATTATATAAATTGCCTTATCTATCAGTGTGGCAGTTCCGACTACAGGTGCCTCACAGAAAAGTGCAGGCAGCTTTATTCAGTACTCTACTGGAATCCTAGCACCCTTGGTGCTTTCTTTCTTTCCATCAAACTCATTTGTTTCAGGTGGGTGACTACAGGCCATTTGCATTTGAAGCCATTCTTATGAACAAAACTGACATCATAGATGTGGCTTTACATACTCCACTCTCTGAACAGGACTGCAGTTAATTTAAAAGTAGACTGTTGACACTTTGAAATAGTCTACAGTTTAAAGTGGATTTGATAAAGTGCTAAATTCTGATTGAGTGGAAAAATACACAAATTCAAGACACAGTACTTAATGTTTTGTGTGAGCCTCAGGTTATTCTAAGGAAGGTAAATCAATAGCAGTAGCATTTTTCATTACAAACTCATTGTGTATTTCTGCACCTTCTAGATGTCACGTTTTTGCCAACTTCTGACATTTCAGGGCTACAAACAGATCACAAGGGCAGCAGCAACACTTTGGCTTGCTTTATCATATGACATTTCAACTTCTGTTGACCCATCCAATTCTTGTAGTACTTCTCCAATTCTCCTTGTCTGCAACACTCCTTAAATAATGAATTGTCTGATGCTAAAGATACAAATGCAGCTGTGTTTCCCTAACACAGTTGTTACAGCACAAACACCAGAAAAAGCAACAGGAACAGCAGAACCACATTTTGCAACAAGTAGGCTTGAAGGCTTTAACACTGCTCTCTAAAAGAATGCCACTTTATAGTCTTGCCCATATAAATAAGATTTAAAACACATTTTCTGTTCTAGAGCAGAACCATTTCCACTACGACTATTATTTAATTTTATTTTTTTTTAAATAACAAAAAGTCTGAAATCCAAAAAGGAAAACAATCACTAATGAAACCTGTTCTTATCTCAAAAGCTGGTTTGAGTCCAAAGACTAAGCTATTCCATTTCAGTCCTTCTTTGGATCCGAGAAGGGCAAATCCAAAACTGTAATCCTAAAACTCTCTGCTTTGAGGCTAATACGAGAAACGGCTGATGTCAACATTGTGACAGCTTAATACTTCATTCATGCAGATGTCTAGTAGTAATTTGGTTTTGACTGTGCTCCGATTACTTTTAAGCCTACGTTAAGGTCTACATTGTTTTTTTCAAATCTTGCTTGGGACTTAATCTGTAGGTGTTCCATAAGCATACCAGCTTGGTTAGGTTCTATACAAAACACTGGCAATCCATGTATTTTGGGGAGATTTTTTTTTTATGTGTTTTTTGTTTTTTAAATAAAGGACCTCTTCCTGCAATTGCACTATGTACAGGTATTTTTATGTTCAATAAATCAGTAGATAAATCAGTCACTCAGGAGACAGGCAATATGTACTAAAGGTTTTCTTCCCGAACTAAACAGATCTGCAACAGCAGCAGAATCCTTTATGAGGGCCATTCTTCTTTCCCCTGCCTTAGGCTGAAGGCAGCATAGAATGCACCTCTCCTCTTTCATTGCTACAATTAAAGAATCTACCAAGAGTTTCTGTAATCACTTGACAAAAATACTTTACAAAAATTTTGAATTATCAATAGGTGATTGAAAACTTCTGAGTGTTGCAAACAGGATCCCTAAGAAGTTACTTTAAAGAGTAGCTTCTTTCATTAGTCCTTAAACAGCAGATCTTAAAAAAATGAGTACTTAGAACTGCAGTTTTCAACGACTCCTGAAGGGGCAGTCCGCAGGACTGAGAAAGAAACTTCTCTGCGGCTGCTCTTGATTTGCTCACATGATTAGTATAGAAATGATCAAACAGTTCAGACTCAACATGGAAAGCAAGACGTCTTCCCCCACCCCAGTGTTTCAAACCCTACAAGGTAAAAGGTCTGGAGAAGTGGGGATGGGGGAAAAGAAGGGGAACTTAAGGGAAAGAACACAGTACCAAATGCACAGGAAAATTGCTTTGATGCACGAGCTGATAGTCAGAAACTCTCCACTGCCAACTGTAGTATCAAGAGTATGTCAGAAATGAGGGTGGAGATGGTCAAGAAAAAGAGAAATACAGACAAAGTTTCTCCTGCTGCTTAAATTCTCCGGGGTGCATTCATGCCCAGAAACAGCTAGTGACAAATTATGGTATCTGAGGTTTCTGCAGATGCTTTCCTCTTTGAGGAGCCAGATAATATCTTTTTAGATGTCTAAGTATAGACTACAGAGCTTAACTTTTCATCAGTCATGTTTGGCTTTTATTGACTTGAAAGAGTTTTCAAACACAAAAAGCTGCCAGACCACTAAACTTGTGTTTCCTGCTATGAGAAGATACAGGAATGGACAAATGAAGTAAAAAAAATTAACTGTACTTAATAGTATCTGTCTTAATCTACTAGTGTCTTTGGTTTGTTAATTGGAGCCTACTGACTTAACAGTTGTATCTATAAGCTTATATCACTGGTGCATAAATTTTTTATAAACATATTAGCAAAATGTGAGATTTTTGGGAATAAAATAAAACCTGCCAGATGTTACATGTCATTTTAAAATCCTAGCTGAGCCAGCTTGCCTCTCATTGGAACAGGAGAGTAAATAAGACTTTGCAAGAAGATATGAGATTGGATTTCAATTAATCCCTTGATTTTTGGGTTACATTCATGTCTAGCAATAATTACCTACTGCTAACAAATACCTATGTCAGATTTATGGTGAAACATCTTGCAAGAGTAAAACCAAGTGTTTTTAGGGAAGAAAATGATGTTTTTACTTAAAATTACTGTTTTTTAATAGAAAATTTAATATCTCATTACACTGTTGTAAAGAAAGACTGGTGGCATAAAAGCAGGCTATTAGCTCCTTATGGAAGACAAATTTTCATTGCAGCTGTAAACCACAATGGCTCTATAATACCAGAGAGAAAATTGTGTTGCCTGTTGATACCAATTTCTGAAACAAACCTCTAAAACCAGTTGCTTAAGAACAAGCCTGGTAGACACTACTCAGCTGAGAGTGTGTAAGTTTGGTAATCTGAGGAAAGAGAATATCCATTGAGGATATTTTTTAAAAAGTGTTACTAGTGTCATCATTTTATGGCAATTACAGGCTTCAGGTATGTTTAATGGAATCATTTCTCCATGCCAACAAAAATATTAAGAAAATAGAACAGACATTTGAATTTATAAAGACAGAATCTGCAATGCCAGCTGCACATTCTTTATTGTGCATACACAAAGCTAACGCTTGCCTTCCTTTGAAATCAGAAGGTAGGTTTTCAGTACAGTGCTTTGGCCACACCATTTCCACAAATCAATCCAAATCCACTTGAAGTGCAGTCTGTTAAGTGCTTTCATGGAAGACAGAGAGGAACTAAAACAACTAGGAAAGCATCTTTCTGGCCCTACCCATAAACAATAAAAGCTACCATGCTTGAAGGCAGACAAACTTGGAGCCATCTTCATAATTCCAATTTTTTTCTCCTCCTTGTCTTGCTTCTACTTATCAAAATACTCTCTACAGCTCTATTTCATTATTAAATCTGCCTGCAACATACATTCATAAATCTGAAAGAACCTATTAAAAATGGAGGTAAAAAAATATGCATTTTACTTCCTTACACTGTAAGCACAGATGCTTCCAATGATATGTCTGGCATAGCACTGTAGGAGTAACTTCTAGTAAGTCCAATATACCTGTACAGTTTTAGAGAAATTGTCTGCAGTGTGGCTATTCAGAAAATTAATATTTATACTTAGGATAAAGGTGCATATACTAACCTGCCAAGGCCGATCCCAATCAAGAGGAATAGGAAATGCTCCAAACCAAGCTCCCAGTATACTGCATATGGTAGTAATCTGTAGACTGCTTTCCCAGATGGATGTAGCTCTGTAAAAAAAGTGTTGCAAGATTTCAACATCAGCAAAAATTATGATGTCAGAATATTAGATCTGATTTCTCCCAAGATTTTTAAGACTACAAACAGATATAAAAAACCCTATTTAATAAATAGCACACAGGTTTCTCCAAAAAGATATAAACTATATGTAAAAAGGTAAGTTGCATATTTTAGCTATAAACACAATCTGTCCATGCCACATATTCTGGAGATTCCGCCCCCCCTCCCCTCCTTGAGATCCTTAGTGCAAAAGCCAACTTACTTCATCTGGAAATACTCCTGTTGAGCTTGAAACACTGCTTGGCTGAGCAAATGAAAATATCACAATGATACTGTGTGCATTGCAAGGAAAAGCAGACATGGGACTGTACAGCAAAGCACAAGCACACTCCCATAGTACTCTATGGTGTAATCATGTTGTTATTATTTGATGACTATGACCATTGGAAATTTAAAAGAAGTGCATAATGTCAATATTCCAAAGCAAATTTCCATCAGCTAGAAAGAAACATTGCAAACAAATGCAATCTGCATGTTGCAACCTTGCCTCCAGGAGGTTCAAATACACTGGCTCCAGGATAACTTTATCACATCCCGAAGAACTAATTCTTTCTTTGCCAACCATAGCACGTATCACAAGACATATTAATTACTTCAGTTCTTGATTTATAACCTTCTGACACTACTGACTTAAAAAGTTCTGGAAAAGTTGGTTTTCTGATTAATAGAGAAGCACTTACTGCCCATCATCAGTCTACCAAGTGATTCCTTTGCTTTTTGAGCACTTGGTACCAATTAAGAAACATGAACAGCAGAAGTTCAGAACACAGTAGGGTACAGTTCTGAGACAGGAGAACTTGGCTGAAATCCCTGCTCCACAGCAGTAAGAGATCTGAATCTTAATTTGCTGCGTTTCAGATTATAAACACGAAGCTAACAGAAAAAAAAAGATGTGCATTTTTATGGCTAGGAGCCTAGATGGACTGTAAACTCTGAACTTCATATGTGCTATTTAGGTTGCATGATGTGAAAGCTTTAACCCTTCACTGTGTTTTTAAGACTCTAAAAATTTCTGACTTTGCTTCTAAGGACACATAACTCACTGCTGCATTTGCTACTGACCAAACATCTCACAAATGTAAAACAAACATTTTTAACAGTTTGCAAAATAAAGGTCACACAGATTATAATAATCACGATGCGACATCAATATTTTGAGCAGAATAGTTTCTTCTACAATAATCCCATCTCTTTGACTTTTAATATTTCATTTCAATTCACAATCCTATCAACTCGAGATATTTTTTAAGGGAAAGGTTCTGATTTACCTATAAAACTGTCTGGGAGTTTGCACATAGAAAATCTTGTAAGTTACTTTCAGAAGCTGAATAAATGAGCAGAGAGCTGTTAGGCAGCATGGGGAAAAGAACATTCACCTCAGCCTTAAAGCAGTAAAAGGGCCAGCAGAACACACCAACTGAGGTATGTTTATACCCCACAAGACATCTTATCTGGTAAATCTACACACATACTGCTGCACCATATGGAGATATCAGACTGAGTCCAAAAGCAGATCAACAGAATTAGCAAGGCACAGCGCCCAAGTGAAAAACAGCTAGTGGTAGTTTGGCAACCATTTGAGCTGCTAATTCAACCACTCTGCAGTATGGACAGTGGCTAATCAAATATAACCTGGCTTGTCCTCAAACATTATCACAGAGGAACAACAGTTTAATTATTTTCTTTTCTTTATGGAATGTCACATATTGGGATTTTTGCAGGTATTCTTTAACCCATTAATCTCTCATGTAAACCCCTCATTTGCATGAAGCTGACAACTGCAGCAACATTCATAAATTTGGAGTTTTAGAGGTATCTTTATTTTTTTAACTATGAATAATTACAACTAAGATCATTCTGCAGGCAAACTAGCAATATTCAAGATAATAAATGATTGCTAGTGGTACAAAAGTCTTTTAAAGCCTAAATTAATTATTTAACTCTTTTAAATAATGCAATATACTTAAGTGCTGGTTTAAATAATGTTTTAATTAGGTAGACAGCTAACAGCTCTTGGATAGACAAGATCTGGAATTCTGGGCTGCAGCAGGACTGAAATACTAAGCAGCACTTATTATTTGATGATGTCTACCTCTACAAAGGACATTTCCAAGTCTCTAAGAGAATGCAGTTCACAAATGTGATAAAATGAGTGAAATGAAAACTGAAAGGAGCCCTGAAGTTATAGATTTAGACTATGTTTTAGCAAGCTCCAAAGAAAATCTATTTTCTACCCAGGTGATATCTTATATTTGCTATTATACCAGAAATTTCAACACAGCTACTCGGACCAGTGATTGAAATAAACAGTCTCCAGAAGGAGCAATAAAAATCAGCAATTGAAAGCTGATTTCTTAAAGGCTTTTATGCAGGAGGCTATTTTGGCTAACAGTCACTGAAAAAGCCATTTTAAAAATAGTCACCTGCTTCTATTGGTGCTGACAACCCCTTCTGTAGCTTTAGTTTCCCTCTATCTGCTTACAGCAACACATGATAGCATATGATCCATGTCATGATAGTGGTCACAACAGCAGATGTCAGAACATAGAGTCCAGAGATAGCTGGCATGGGCCTATCCTTCCCCAAACACAGCATTAGTGAAAAGACCCCTATCTACAGCCTACTTAGAATTGAAGTTTTTATGATATAAAATACACAAACTTACTTTTCTCATACATTCTATGTGTACATAAGTATGTGGGTAAGAAAGGATTGTTAATTTTTTAAAAAATAAAGTAATTAAAGAAATCTATTTTGTCTATCAAATCAACATTTCCAGTTTAAAAGTGTACTCAGTCTGAAACATGGAGCATGTGCAATTTTTTGTCTGAGCCTCAACTGTATTTTCTGCCATTGTTTCCTGTATACAAAAGAACCCCAACCATCCAGCCAACACCTCCCCTCCACTCTGCCAAAACCCTACACTTTATAATGCAAACAACAAACCTGCAGTGTCACAGATTACATGTTATCATGAGACAGCATATAGAACCTATACCCTAGAGGCATGAGCACCTGAAGACTGACCTTGCAGTAACCTTATTAGAAATTATTTTACTAGCAATGACTGCACTTCCAAGCACTGCAAGCAGAAACAGAGAAAGCTAAGTATCTCTGCAGGAAAAATAAGCACTTTGCAAGATTATCCCCAAAATATTACAGTTGGACTGACTCAGTTGTACCATAGCTATGATGATGCAATAGATTACATACAAGTTACTTGAATTTGACTTTATGAACAGACCTATAACAAGATATGACATGCCTCTCTATTTTCACAGTAGACCACCTAAAACACTGCAGAGAGCTATCGAGAGCAACAGCTAGGGAATTAATATATTACTTATTTATACTTGATATATCAAAATAAACTTTCTTCTTCTAGATGTCTTTCTCTGTTTAACTGCAAAGGCAATAGCACAAGCACATTTTGATCTTATAAATATTGCACAGGCAAAGAAGAGTAACAAAAATAAATGTCACTGGTTACTGAAGTCTAAATGGTATTCAGATATTTTTAAACACATTCCTTTCTCATACTAAGCATACACTTAATCAGACGTTCCAGCTTGCTGTTTCACTGCAATTCAATTAGCTGAACGCTTTCTTTCAAGCGAAAGGGCTGTGTTGACCTAACCTAACCATCCATTTTCTCTGTTCAACCAGTCCCACCTCATTCCACATGGGTAAGAGATAACATTTTAATACATCACTTCTACACTCAGCTCATGCCTAAAAGTGTGATGTTGCAACTCATTTGTGGTGTCAAATCAAAACCACAAGATAGACCAGCTTGCTACAATCCTTAAAATATTTGTTACTATATTTATTTGTAGTCTATTTTCATTCAAAGGCTGGTCTAAATGAACATCATTATTAAATGAGTATTTTATTCATGTAATGTCACATGACTCACTAGTAAGAAGTATGTACAAATTGTCACAGCAAAAATGCCAAAACAAGACAACTCTGTTTCCTATGCCTTAATTGTGCTGAAATAAGATTAAGATCTAGACTAGGAAAGAAAGAAATTGACAAGCATTCAAAATCTAACTTGGCACAAAGACAGACTGTTGCCAAACATCTGTCACTATCATTCAACTATTATTTCCAGTTGCAAACCTTCCAAAGATCATGAAATGAATCAGCAATTATTTGTTTTGGCTTAACAACTCCATGCTTTTATTAAAGTCTAGCACTTATCAAGGGTAGGGTTGAATAATGTCATGGCTGTCTCTGAGGTGAAAATGAGGTAAAAAAGGCTCATTTTACTTTAAAGATTCTCTTGAAAAAAATTGCTTGGAAAGTCTAACACTGAAAACAGCTTTCTTTGAAATTTGAAGAAGAGCATAGGTAAAGATTACATACTTAAGACCACAGCAAATGACATCTTTGCCATTGTATTCAAGTTAAAAATTTTTACTGTTAAAATAACGGTTTTTTTGGTTGTTCCTACTTTAAAAGCTGTATGTACAAAGGTACTACTGAATTGCGTACAAGATTCTCCCTGCATAGCTCAGTCTCAGGTCTTTATTTGACAACCATTATACTGGACTGCACAACAATCTCACACCAGTGAAACATGCATTTGAAACATTACTGAATCTCAAAGCAAGATTCAGTGTCTGGATCAATGTCTTAAAAATAATTAATAATTTCATCAGAAAAGCTTTAATAAGCCTGTAATCATAAGTAATAAAAAACACACATAACTCAGGAAGTCTTCCTTTCTTTACAAACAATCCCAGGACATATTGTTTACATCAATTCTGTCAGAAATAGATTTTACCCAGAACAGAAATAGTTCTGGGTAAAATCAGACACTTCAGAATAGAACTTACCCATTTTTACTAAATACCCGTATCCACGCTTGTATGTTTGGTCCCAGCATACACAAGCATTGTAAAGTAGTAAAGGTAGACAGAAGAACAGCAAACAAAAACGTCTCAGTCACTGACCTACAAAGAAGGAATATTACAAAATTAAGTGAGGTCGTTACTGATTTTCTAATAGCTCCAAGATTTAGAGAAAAACCACCCCTATAAGTCAACTTGTGAAAGCATGCATGCTTTCTTAAACCTTATGTAGAAGAAAAAAGTACTTTCTTCTTACTCTGTAGAATAGTAAAGAATGTTGAAAAGAATTCTGCTGTTTGTTACCTCAACACAGACTGAAATGCAGTAGTGATATTAGAATCTTACGGGGAAAATGACTACATAGAACTTGGAAAAATGTTTGTACCTCTAAGTTTAACATATCTTACCAACAGCATTGTACTCTACCTACTTCCTTCATTTCAGCTATAGCACAGCATGATAACAGCCTATTTCAAAACAGTTTTCCCTATGTTTAATACTTTAAATAATGAACTGAAAAGTATCACACACCATCTAAATTTTTTTCATGTACCCTATTATAAAAAGGCAAACATACAAAAATATAACTGGAAACTACAAATTAAACTGATAATTTTATTGGATGTTTTTGTTTTACATCTGAGTGTAATGTCCATTCATTAAAAGCCATCTTTCACAGAAAGTGAAAAAATATTTAAAAGCAAGAAAATATGTGATACAAAAAAGAATAAAAAGATGACATTCAGAATCAAATGCAATACTTAAAACTACATTAAACTACTACATTTTGAACTTGGTATCCTGAATTCTAAATCTATTTGAGAAATGTCCATGACTTTCTATCAATCTCTAAAACACATAATTTTTTTATCCAGTTGAACAACAGTTTCTGGGTACTCACTATGTGATATAGAAGCACAGCCACTTGATACAGTTCTGGGTAGGTCTGTTCTGATCAGGTCACTAACAGAAATCTATAATTTCACTTGAACACTTTTTAAACAATTATTTATTCCTTATGCTAGACTGGGATGAAATCTCACATACAACAAAAATGAAAACTGCTTAATTTTTAATTCACAGGTGGTTTAAATACTTGTTTTCCGTAACGACCATGTGTATTTCACAAACCCTTCAGTCAGCAAAACTAGACAGAAGCTTTGCATACACAGATACTACTTCCAAGTGATGTTTGTTTAACTGTTCAAGAATCACCGCATCATCTGACTCAGCTGGGAGCACAGGACTGTCCACCCGACTTCCAAATACTGCTGTATTCCCCCACTCCTGAACAAGTTGTATGCTGCTCCAAATTCGCTCTGTTCAAACCCGTTTCATTGGGATCAGCACCTTAAATGGTCCCATTGCAAACTCTACCTGCAAACATTTCTTCCAGATTTAGATTCTTCTGTAGGCAAACTCCATCAATCAAGGAAAAGTAGCCATTGTTATACTTTTCCATGCCATTTTAAAAAAATCCATCAACTTTGTTTAAATTCTAATGAGCTAGTCTCTTTTTTTTAAGTCACAAATTATAAAAACTATTTCTCTTCCTTCAAAGTTATTAGAAACTTACAGCTACCTATAGCATATGAGAAAACTGTTTCCTCATAAGGCTGGATTACGAAATGAGTTCTGTGCCCATTCAGTTCTGCCAACTTTTGCCTGGAAGATCAATGGCTGGAACTACGAACAACAACATATTGACAAGAAAAAGAAAAGGCACAGAATCGCTCACCTGAAGAGGTTATTTACAGGTAGAGAAAGTTTAGTATCACGAAAATATTGGATAACTTATTTCAAAAGGTGCCACACTCAGCCCAGTCATGGAAAACAAGCATTCACCGACAAAAATTATCTAAATTCTTTTTCATTTTATTATTCCACGAAAGAATTTGCTTCCTCTCTGTATTGTCTGGTGGCAATTTAAGAACAAAAATCTTACCTTGTGAGCAAATGAACTTCTCTTAGAAGACTGATTTGGTTTAAGGACTAAGTGCAAGACTATATTAAGGGTACTAACAGAAACAGAACAAACACACAGCCACGTGAGGTGTGTTCCCAAAACCGTGAACCCTTCCCAGAAGAAAGCCGGCACGACCGCTGTCAGAACGACGCAAAAGACACAGAGGAGGTTGGCAGCCAGGAGCCTCCTGATTCCCGCTTCTCTCATCGCGTTCCCCACCGCCTGCAAGACAGCAAGTCGCGCCCCGTCACCGACACACGGCAGGAGCGGGACGGAACAGGTTCCCTACTCGCCATACACACGGCAGAGCCCTGAGCTCACTTTGGGGGCGAAACCGATTCATTTGGGGCAGGAGGACGCCATTCCTTTAAAACCCAACTCCAAGCCAGGGACACGGCAGCAGCAGCACCGCGCGATGAGAGGGGCCCAGAGCGGGCAGCCGGGCCCGCACCCGCACACAGGTGCTTGCTGACACAGGGGCCCGGCCCGGCGGCAGGAAAGCCCGGGCC